AGCTCAGTTAAGTTGGATCTGACTAAGAAGGAGGCTTAGTAGAAGTAGGGAAAAGGGCGGCCTATAAATGACAAATAAAACTAAAAAAAACAAAACTAAAAAACACTTCACTGAGGACTATGAGCATAGGCTTTCCAAGCCAAGGGAAGACCTGCAGGAGTGCAAGACCAGGTACCGGCGCCTGGAGGTTCAGCAGGCTGAGATGGTCAGCCAGTTCCAGGCCATGATGCAGTCCCACTGGAACAAGTCCCTCCGGCTCTTTACCACCAGCAGCTCTTCCCTCCACACTTTGGCCAAAGGCCCACACCAGGAGGCTGAAGCAGACCCCTAGTCGGAATGTCTCCCCCCGTCCGACCCACACAAAAATGAAGGGGGAGACTCTCTACATCAGCCCAAATGTTCATTACACATATCCATCCCAGGGTCCGTAGTTTGAGGACCCCTGATTTAGTGCATGTTTTAAAAACATGTAAATAATTTTTCTGCGGACCACCACCATTTGTCCACGGACCACCAGTTGGTGACCGCTGATCTAATAGGTTTCTAGGGCTAAAAATGAATCTGAATCTGGCTCTACCATGTTCTAGTTCCACATCTTATGTACTGTACATCTTATGTACTGTACAACTCTGTACCGTAGTATGTGAATGGAAGAAGAGATTTGTTGCATTCAAAAGATGAAGAAAAATGCATGGTTTCTCATCAAAGCCATGTCAGAATCTTTCTGGCAAATGCTAAAAAGAAACAAATAGAGTCTCTCCCCAATGTGTACGGAGATATAGAGAATGGAACAGCAGCAACTTTGAATGATGGATTCCTACCTCTATTTTTAGACAGATCTAAAGAGAGGCACAAAAATAATGTTAACACTTTTTTTTGGGGGGGGGGGTGTTCTGGGCAAATGTAGTTTTGCTTTCATTTCCAGAAACATTATCATAATGAAAAGTGAAGTACTCAAAAAGATAAAAGCTATCTCCTTTTTGTGCCTGAAAAAATGGTACTTGAAAGTGATGAGCCATTAAATTGAGACATGATATAGATTTCTGGTTGTGAAGAACAAAGCATTTTTCTCTGTAAAACTCTGTACAGGTGCCTTGCAGGAGAAACAAAACAATCAAAGCTCAAAGCTCTTTTCTTTCTTACCATCTCTGTCTTCTAATCTTTCAACTGATCGCAACCATTCATCTCTGATTATTCAGTTCCATTAACTAAAAGCACAACACTTATTTAGTAAGGAAGATTGATGGATCCATCTATTTCTGCTCCTTATCACTTTTACTTGGCTTTGTTCTTAGATCCATTTCGACATTAATTACAGTTTTTAGAATATGTTTAAATTCATGATTATTTATGTCTATTGGTCAATGCATTTCACAGAAGGCAATAGTATAGAAGTTAAGAATTGGAAATATGGTATGAATATTGTATGATAGGTAGGAACTGGATATGTATATGTATTGATAGTAACTATATAACGAAAGGGAATAATGGATAGGTTATTTGACTGATTACACATACCTAAGTAATGGATTTATAAACTGTTATTGTTGTAAGATCTAAGAACTCTACAGAAATGATTATGCCAGAAATGTCGCACTATGTCCAATGTTTTAACGTTTCCCTAATAAAAATATTAATAACACACACACACACAAACACACAGAGAGAGAGAGAGAGAGAGAGAGAGAGAGAGAGAGAGAGACAGACACACACACACAGACACACACGTACATACATACATGTTGCATTTTCCTGCCTGGAAGGCTCCTAGGTGGACCTGAAAGGCAAAAGGGAAGCAGTATGCTCCCTCCCATATATATTAAAAGAATGATTATAAAAATCCTATTACAGGAATTAATTTGAAAGGTGGGCCTAGAAACTTATTGGGCAGAATTCGGATTGAAAGGGCACAAAAGGTGATAGTGAAATATTGGAAATGCGATCAGGCTTTATTCTGTGAAATGCAGACAAGAATTTTGCATTTTTTGCATTTCACTGAGGAATGTATGAATATGAGAAAATATATTGAACATTTGCTGAATAGAACAAAATGCATGATCAACTTGATAGCTTTGGAATACTGAATGCTTGGTGTGAATAAAGAATTGAAATTTCTTACTGGATTCAATAAGAGCAATGGAGGGTGGACCTGAACATTTAATTTGTGTTTACAAATTAAATGGTTAGCAAATGTTTCACATAGAACATAAAATAAGCTAAAGCTGTCTGATGTCCCTTTAGTTGTTTATTAATGAGTAAATGTGTAATTAATGTTTTTGTAAGGAATTGTATTTGTAATTTGTATTTGTAATTTGTATTAGATGTGTGTCAGTTGGGGACTTGAATGAGCATGTGCTTTTATATACAAATTATGACATGTTGTTTCATGGAAATATGATTTTTTGGCATTGAATGTTTAGACTATATGACACTATGAGCAATATAGAAATGAATATATCAAATCAAGGTAGTTATGATTGCAAGGAGTGAACATTATGGGGGAAATGAGATCAGGTAGGTAAGTTTTACTTGCTTTGATAAAATGGTTACAAAGGTGGATAATCAAATAGACTAATAGACTGTCTTGTTGAGAAGAATGATAGCTATGCGTAAAACTGTACTTTATTCAATGGAAGTGAAAATTTGGTGTGCCAGGAGAAATTTAAATGCAGCAGGAAGTGGTCATTTAAGAAGTGTCTGTGATAGGGCAAGAACAAGTAGGGACAAAAATGAATAGGATGATAAATGAAGGGGAATCGAATACAAAAATATGTGATCAGTTTGAAAGAAGTACTCTGAGGTAGTTTGCTCACATAGGCAAAATGAATTATGATCAGAGTTTAAAAGTAAATATATGAGGAAGAGCAAATGACATGAAAATAGCATAGGAAGACTAAGAAAATTGTGGTTTGATTAAGTTGTAAAACTGTGAGAAATTTAAGGACAATGGCAAGGACAATTTGCAAGGATAGAAAGACATAGAGAGAGCTATAATGAATGATGTTGGTGTAAACTAGATTTTTCCTTTCCTTTTATCTCTTACAGTAATTAATTTTGCTCATTACTTATGATTTTTCTGGATTTTATATAACATTGCTCAACCTGAAAAGGAACAGCATAGAATAGCATTATGCAGACAAATATCTGTCAAATCAAGAATCTTACAGAATTTAATGCAACTAACTTCCACATAAGTAAATATTACTGTTCTGTAAATGTACTTTACTATTAATAGTATAATATTTAATTGGTAATATAATAGAGCAAGATTTTTACAACAGACACTGTTTGAAAATAGACGCTTCTAAGATACATACTTATAAAATGCACATATGACATCACAAATTTGGGAAAGCTGAGGAGCCCAAAGGACAATTATGCATATTTTTATTTTATTATATTCCATTGGCATAGAATCCTGAGAGGATTAAATCCAATTAATTCATACAAAAATTCCTCAAGCATTATTAGAGATAAGCATACATTTAATTTTCTTTCTTTCTTTTGGCAATTGTTTTGTTCTTTTAATCTTAATTTTTTTTTAGCTGTTGAACTACCCTAGTGGGTAAGTTCATTAATACTATATACCACAACTTTCCCAAAAGTACCCCTAAATAAAATTACAAAAAAGGTAGGCTCAAATAGCAGCCTACTGACCAAAAAACCCTATCAAAATATTGTTTCAATTGATTTCTGAAGACTTGGGGTAAGTTGAATCTCTTGAAATGGAAATTCTTCATAAGTCTTCATTATTTAATTCCACTATTGAAAAGTATCTGTACAAACATGTAAATGCAATGTAAAAGACAGAACAGATTTTCTTCTAGAAAATGAAATATATTCAGGAATTTGTAGGACTAGGGGTACTGCTGGAGATACCCAGGTCCCTAAAGTCACGGAGCAATGGACTCTGAATAATGCTTCTCTGAATGCTATTTTGTCATTCTGCGATTCTTTGCATGCTACTTTCACTTATTAACATCTATATAAAGGGTTGAAATCCTAAACTGAAATATGATAGTCAATATATCAATTATCAGACACATATACTGACATTTTAAGATTCACATTAATGAGGGATAAGAAGATTAAACACATTTGGCTGACTTTTAATGAATAAATATTATTTAAACGGAAAATAGGCTTCCCTAATTTTTGATCATGAACATACTTAAATTCCTAACATGCACGTATTTTAAGAGTAAAGATCAAAAGCAGTCTAAAGTGTAAATATCACAACAGGAATCCAATTCACACTATCAACACTGAACCCTTTAGAAAGCAACGTGAGGACCACAAGTGTCTGGAACGAGAGCAGGCTGAAATTGTATTATAAAATCTTTCATTGGAAATAGATTTTCTTTCACTGCCCTAAGCAAACATACACAAAAAATGCAATTCTGTAATATGGAATAAAAATACAAATATGAATGAAGAACTTAGTTTATAACAAAACCAAGACTACAGTTTTTTTGTACAAACTGCATAGGCCCCTTTAGTGATGAACAATAATGATCTGAATATTGCAATTAATCATTTAAATTAATCATTTAATTTTAAATGATAATTGAAATCCAACTTGGATTCCCCATAAGTTGATCTTTACCATATAGCTGATTTGGGGAATTTTTCTTATGGCAGAAAGCTATTGTTGCCTTTAGTATTTGAAGACAATCTCTGGAATCAGCGGAAATTCTAAAAAAAAAATTGTTAGCTGTTTTCAGAAACACTTTCTAATGTAAATGGTTCTTCCTAAAGCAAGAATAAGCAATGCCCATTCATTTGAATTACAAGTCTGAACAGTTCTGAAGTGGTAGAATATTGTGAGCTATTTTGGAAGTTAAGAGTCCACTTTCATGGGGAAGGTTACATGTTATTGTGTAATGGTAAGAGAAAAAAAAGAGAACGGTAGAGTAGGATATGAAGACTGTCCATCTTATTATATGTAGTTTTAATATTCTTTTTAAATTCCATCTAGGTGACTGATAACTCTTGTTTACCTGCCCTCCATAGTAAAACTCTTCTGAGTCATTGTCTCCTTCTGAATCTTCTTCAACCACAGTACAGTGTCTTGATTCCTGATTAGAAAAAAAAAGGTAGAGGAACTCAAGGAGGGTTTTTCTTTGATTAAATATGTATTACACCAGGCTACAGAATACACCGGTTTCAAAAAGGGGAGGGGGACATTTCAGAGTTTGCAGCACTGTAGCTGTTGCCCTTAAATCAAACATATTTTCCTCCAGAATTGCATGGCAGCTGCTCTATCTATAAATTACTTCTGTTTTTCCAGTAATTTTCACATTCTATTGTCTAAGAAGTAGGCAGAGACAGAAGCAAAGACAAAGACAGTGGTAACATAACTCTTAATCAAGGTTTGTCCATGAGCTATACCCAATTAAAAGTAAACATTTATAACTTCTCCCAGTTACCAGTCACATAATCTAATCAGCACACTGTAGTTGTTGGGTGACTTCACTCTCCACCTTCCAAATATCTGCAGCAATGACCTTGATTCCCAGGCAAAGAATTTTATTTTGGCTACAGCAACCCAGCTATCTCTACAACCCGTTCCTTGCATCTCAGCTCCAGGCTGTGTCAAGCCTGAAGCAATGTGAAGAAAAATCCTTATAGAATAGGCTACAGGAAAGAAAATGGCCACAGCTTCAGGGTTGATAGCTATACTTGATTGGCAATAATTCAGTTGTTCAGATGGCTATGTGTGATGTATATAGTAAAGGTAAAGGTTTCCCTCGCATATATGTGCTAGTCCTTTCCGACTCTGGGAGGTGGTGCTCATCTCTGTTTCTAAGCCGAAGAGCCAGTGCTGTCAAAAGACTCTCCGTGATCATGGCTAAATGCTAAAGGTGCACGGAACACTGTTCCCTTCCCACCAAAGGTGGCCCCTATTTTTCTACTTGCATTTTACATGCTTTTGAACTGCTAGGTTGGCAGAAGCTGGAACAAGTAACGGAAGCTCGCTCCATTACACGGTGCTAGGGGTTCGACCTCCAAACTGCTAACCTTTTTGATCAACAAACTCATTGTCTTAGCCACTGAACTACTGCCTTTGAGGAATGAGGGGAAGAGATGCTACGTAGGGATTGAATAGACAAGAAGTGGGAGAGTCTGCAGTTGCTTAATGGTCCCACCTTATTTAAACAGGCTGTAAAAGGAGACAACTTGCAAGATTATTTAATGTAGCCCTACATTAAAATAGAATTGGCTTATCTGGTTATGTTACTTATCTGGTTTACCTGGAGGGCTGATACTATATTATTATTTATGTGTCAATTCTTTAAACTGTTTAGATCAGGCAAAGCAAGAAATATTGAGCATTTGTTCAGTTGTGAGATAACATCATTAAATGAGAAGCTTGACAGGTACGGAATTGTGGGACTGCACTTTATAAAGGTGATTAATAGATATTGTAAGACTCAACATATTCATTTGAACCAGTTATGCTGACAAAGTTGGATATTTACTACTTTTAATTAAGCAATCTAAGAATAGTCTGGGACATGCAAATGAAGTGCTTGCAGCCACATATGTCCCATGGATTATCCACCTCTTGTTTAAATACCCCCACTGACAAGCAGTTGAAATTAAGCAGTATGTCCATCAAAAACCTGTCTAGATTACCACTGGACACCAACACAAAATGTATTTTAGTGTAGGCGAAATAGAAAAAACAAAGATCGTCATATCCATTACTTGATAGGGCAGTTTGGATCTAAAGACTAAAATGAATGGCTATGAAATCCAGATTAAACCAAAACTCTTAACACACTAAAGGTTTTGCCTTGCAGGAATTGTCTAAATGTACTGAGAAATACAGTCATTGCAAACCTTTTGCTGTAGTTCCTGGATCCATTTCAAAACTTGCACCCAAATTATAAAATTTAATGTTAAGAACCATGAGATCATTACCGTAAATATACGAAGACATTCATATAATTCCATTTGCATTAATTTAAGACAGATTTAATATTTGTCCGGAGACTCTGCCAACTTTCTTGAATACTGTGACCAGCATGAAAGCGACAAAGACTAAAAGCTCAAAGTAATCTTTTTACCAGAATAGAAGAGAAAATCTGTAAGTCAGGGTTGTATTGTGAAGTCTTTAGTGCACTCTGAACTTGGTTGTTTGCTTGCCGATGCTTCGTTACTTGAACAGGTAACTTCAGCAGCACAAATACCCTTGATTTAATTTTAACTATATTTGATTTTAATTAAATTTAAATTCAATTATCCTGTTTGCATACATTTTTTTTCCCAGAATGGAGCCTTGGCAAATTATTCAAAGGTCAAATCCAAAGACAGTTGGGAATCTCTTGCCTAGAATGACTTTTGGAAAACATTCTTTATAGTAAAAGGCAAATATTCCCCTTGCACATATGCACTAGTCGTTCCCAACTCTAGGGAGGGGTGCTCATCTCCATTTCAAACCCGAAGAGCCAAGCTGTCCAAAGATGTCTCCGTGGTCATGTGGACGGCATGACTAAACGCCAAAGGCGCATGAAGCGCTGTTACCTTCCCACCAAAGGTGGTTTCTATTTTTCTACTTGCATTTTTTATGTGCTTTCGAACTGCTAGGTTGACAGAAGCTGGGACAAGTAATGGGAGCTCACTCTGTTATGCGGCGCCAGGGATTCGAACCGCTGAACTGCCGACCTTTTTGATAAACAAGCTCAGTGTCTTAGCCACTGAGCCCTTTCTTTATACCACTGGCTATTAAATTAGAAAACAACATGTTCTGGGTCTACAATGTTCCTTCCATCACTGAATATATGTGGAGGAAATGCTTATCTCTTGGTGTCCATGAACACAACTAACATGAGACAGCTGTAAAAAGCTGTATTGCAAAAAAAAAAAAAAAAAAGTGAACAATCTCATTTCTTCTGAAACTCTTTGGTAGGAATAAAATGCAATGTTTGTAACCAGAGGCCTTCAAGAAAAGCTTTAAGGCTCATTTATTTTCTATGACCTTCTGCTGAGTTGTGCTTTTTATAGAATTGTTAATGGTTGTAACTACAACATTTTGGCTTCTTAAAATATTTTAGGCATGACAAGTTTGCTTTCTTGTTACATCTGTATTTTTATTAACTCTAATCTTCATATTTACATAGTTTTTATCTTTTGAGGGCTTTTTTTCCATCACAAAAGATTGCATCATTTTAATAAATTAAAACTTAAAGACTTAAAATTGAAATAGCCAAGTAAAATATTTTGCATACTTAATGGGAAAATCATAGAAAATATGTTTCTATTAAAACAATTAGCCTGTTTTCAGATTCTTCCAAATTATTGTGCACCCTACCAAATAATATGCACGGCAATGAAAATTTGCTGGTCGAGCTTGATGGTGGCACTAGAACAGATTCTTTTGGAAATAAATTTAATGAGTTTGTGCAGAAAAAATTAAGCAAGCAATGACTGTTGGTCACAAGGATCAATTTCTATATTCAAGATCACAGATGCCTTTCATTACCAGTGGATAGGGAACAAGAAATATGAACTTGTCTGTAGCTGATAGGTCTTTTGCAGACACCTGGTTGACTCTAGGCCTTTGATGGACAATTTAAATGACTTTGTAACACCATTTCCATTTATTTTTGGATCATGCAGCGGTACTTACAATAAGCTGTCAAGCATGGATGTACTCGGATAGAGATAATGAGGACTTGTGTGGCATCACAACATCATGCAAAAGATATGACTTATGTAGCAGATGTGTGTCCATCAGTACATAATAAAGCTCATACTGTAATTCTGGTGTCATTGCAGTTTCTTACAAACGACGACTATTATGAGGATTTCTTAGTCATATGAATTAGGGCACATACAGATTCCATTGAGCATAAAAGTAATCTGTTCACATCACAGAAGTAGCTTGTATATGATTAATTTAGGATACATGTAGTTCCTGACTGATGACGGTAATAGAGCTTGCCTTAAGTCATGACTGTCATAAAGCGGATCACTCATGTGACCAACCTGATTTTACTACCTTTATTTTGCAGTAGTCATTAAGCAAACCACCATGGTCATTAAATGAATCTGTAGTTCTTAAACACACTGTTCTCAAATGGGGGTTACCAAAAAACAGAAGCAAATGATAGTTTTTAGCAAAAAACGTCATAAATTGTGATGCTACCAGTCATAAATGTAGGATGCTCTCCAAGTCCTCCAAAATGCGGTCATGTGATTACTGGGGGGCAGCAGCCATTGGAACTTTGGGACCACATCTTAGTTCCTTTAGGGAAGTGCTTTTGTGGGAGGGAGTCTGCCAGAACTTTAAAAAGTCACTAAGTGACTAATCATAAATTGAGGACCACCTGTATCTTGGAAGAACCCAGTGTTGATTCCTTTTTGTCCTTGCACTTGGAAACAAATATTATCATTAAAAAAAAAATACAGTACCTCTCCATTTTCTCTTTGTAACTTTGACTTTATAAACAAACAACAGTTGACATCATTGGTTTTTCGCAATTCTAAAGAAAAGTAGAAAAATGATAACATTAGCAACTGAAAGCACATTTGAAATACTTGTAGATACTTGTTATCCATGAGAAGCTTTACATTCTTGCCCTGGAGCTGTCAGAAATTTGGGACATTAAGCATATAATGGACTAATGATGATCTGTGTGACAGTGTATTCAAAATGTCACAACAAACATTTTGCTGGCTAGATCATAGATTCCAATGATCTAGCCAGATAATGTTTTCAGAAGCATTTTCATCAGATGCGTATGACAGTTGCCGTAACAAAAAATATCATCTTGCATTTTTGCAAATCTCTCCTTTTGTTTGCCCACCAGTTTCTGCTAACAGAAAAAAGTTGCCATCTCATCTGAGTTGCATATTTTAACTCTCATTCGTGTAAGAGTTAAATTAAACAAATGTAACATGACCTTTTATTTATGAGCAAAATACTGGTTATTTATTTACACGTATCACATACTTTTTACAAAAGGTCAAGGCAGGGAACATATCCAAAAACACTTTTCTTCTCTTATTTCCCCACAATAACCTTGTGAGGTGAGTTGGGCTGAGACAAAGTAACCCACTTGGCTTTCATGGCTAAGGCAGATCTTGAACTCATCAGCTCTTGCTTTCTAACATGATGCCGTAACCACTGGATCACCCTTGATAATAAGTCCAAATAAAACAAACAAGCTTGTATATAAAGAGCATTGTCTATGCTTACTGGGGATAGACTTGAGTCATCTGAAACAAAAAGTGAAAAGCTATCCCTACATCCTGGCCAAAAAGATAAGAAAAATTAACCCACATTTCCATCCTTAACCCAACCATGTTTACATAACATATGTAATGAAGTTGCCTGTAAAAAATTAAAATATGTAATTTTGGCTATCAAAATACTAATCATCTTTTCAGGTACTCCATTCCATACACTTCATAAAATGTTCTAAAAGTCAAGGTTCCAAGTAATAGATCCATTGCAAGCAAAAACTCTGAGGCAGATGGGTCAGAATATTCATGAACTGGCAGAGACATGGTAAAAAGGTCAGCCAATGAATAGGCATAGCAACCAATGAGGTCAGCCAATGACGGCTGTTTAGAAACTGAAACATTTGCTGGAGACAGCTAGGCGCCTAGGCATGGCTTAGGCTTAACTTAACTGCCCTGTATAGATGAGGTTATCTTTGTCCGTATTAAGTTCTGAACTCTGAACTGAAACCAATCTGTCGTCTGCCTGTGTTTTGCCTGTAACTACTACCACATTGGAGAATCCATTATTGATATTGTACATTTACTCCTGTGTTATTATGTATATAAAGAAGTTAATGAATCCTGCTGAATCAGTTATCTGTGTGTGCTTTCTGGATGTGATTTCTGCAACAAACTCTGACAAGATGAATTCCTCACCGAATAGCTTTACTGGAAATATCATATTGGCACACATCTGGTGGAAACCAACTCTGATGGGCCTCTGGGGTTTCACCTAATTAACAGTTTTCCCTTCAGAGCCAGACAATCAGTCACTTGGCCCAATCAGGACAGCGTCCACAGGTCTGGTGACATCACTCCTCCTTCCTCTGGCCAGGTGTGAGAATGTCCTTGGTTCCCAGGGGAAAGTATTTTATTTTGACTACACAACCCCAGCCCCCCCAAATCCTTCAGCTCCAGTGTGGCAACATTGAAGCTCCAAAATGGTTTTGGCCAGATCAGCTTTAGGGTTGACACTAAGGAGACCATTTTCTGTTTCCAGTTGTTCTTATTTATTCTTAAGCTTTTTTCTAAGCCACACCTGCCAATAGCTACTACCTGCTACAGCATAGGAATACATAAAAATAGTCTTTTTGTAAATCATACAAAGAAAAAACAGTTATCATGCTTTCTCCAATCTGGTCTCCTCCAGACCTATTGTAAATTACAACTCTGAGATCTCTTAGCCCTGCTGAGAGCCAATATACAAGGGAAACAAAGGGTTGTTGACAGTTTTGTAGTTTAACAATCCATTTTTATTGTGCGATTAGGTGTGATTTCTTCTGCACTGATCAGCCTCAAGAAATATTCAACATACCTTCCTTGTCTTCAGAAACGTCTCTGTTGGTGAAATCGGGTATAGTCCAGCTGTAGGAGAAATACACTACATTCTGCCCAGTGTAATAAGTTAAATGATATAAAACATCACCTGTAGAAATTCGGTGAAAAATTACTGGAATTGGCTCTGTGGTAACTAGTACATCTTCATCATTATCTGAGCTGGACACATAGGTGTTATCTGAAATGAGGCAAAGAAGACACTACATTTAACTCACACAGAAGCCTCTAAATCTTAAGAGTGACAAGAAGATGCAAGATGCAAGCAACCAACAAATATCAATATTCACAGGTCTTGTGGACACCAGATTGTGGCACAGCATTAATAAGCCAGAGTCAAAAGGGCAAGTGTTGCTTTGCCTCTGATGAATTAATGATAAAAATGTACTCAATAATCAGTTTTATGGGACTAGGCTGTAATCCATAACCCACTTAGTCAAGGCCTTAAACTATTTTTTTAAATGCTCATTGATTTTCAGTCCCATTTGGAAACCTGAACATGCTTTTTCCTAGCCTATTTCTCTTTCATTTGGCAACCATTAATTTGCTTAACCGTTCAGAAGGCTTTTAGAAAAAAAAACAAAGATGTTGGTTACCTTTTATTTACTTGATCTTATCTCCATCAGGTTGGGACCAGTAGTAGGCAAGTGGCCATTATTAATCATTTGAACCCAGTTGTTGGAGAAGAAAGTTGTGTCCACCTCCACCAAACCAAGGGCTGATCAGTTAGGGTTTTGTTGTGGGAGATAGAAAAGTGAGTGTTATAACTCACTGTTTCTCAAACTTGGCAACTTTAAGATGTGTGTTGCTGGCTGGGGAATTCTGGGAATTGAAGTCAGCACCCCTATAAAGTTCTCAAATTAAAGAAGCCCTGTTCTTCTTTGTAACTCAGTAAGCATAGACAGACTATTTATTGGCTAGCCGTTACTTCATGCTGTTACTCATTGGAACATACTCCTTAAACTATAATGTCTCCTAAAGGAGCCGTTGTGTTGTGGAGTGTATTGATTCCCAGTAATGGAACTTTTAATCTTTGCACTGTGTATTGGAAAGCTTTTTAACTTTTTTTTTTTAGAACATTGGCTTCTTTATCAAGCATATATTCAAGTCAAGGGATGCCATAGGAATTTTAGAATATACCTGCAGTGTGTATTGGAAGAAGGGGTTGGTGGCTGTAGAAATGACTCAAAGGCAATTTCAATGCAAGCTTTGCCGGAAAAATCCCTTCAACGGGGGATAAAGAAAAGTGACTGCCATTCGCACAACTCACTGTCATCAAACAGAGATAAGGAATCTCCGTGCTTCAATTTTTAGTAGAGAGCATTATTATTATCATCATCATTTTGCAATCTACCCTGACTATATTGATAGAAAACATACAACACCCAGGCGTTGTACATAGACGTATAGAACACATGTGTGTCTCAGGGGTGAAATTTAGCAGGTTCTGACAGGTTCTGGAGAACCGGTAGTGGAAATTTTGAGTAGTTCGGAGAACCAGCAAATACCACCTCTGGCTGGCCCCAGAGTGGGGTGGGAATGGAGATTTTGCAGTATCCTTCCCCTGCCATGCCCACCAACCAGTAGTTGATGGGCATGGCAAGACCAGTAGTAAAAAAAAATTGAATTTCACCATTGGTGTGTCTCCTATTTTTACCTGCAGTGGTGATAAAGATCAGTGGTTTCTAATTTTTGCAGCTTGGTAGCCCAGCTGGGGGGCAAAGGGGCTGTGCGAGTGGCAGGCTGGTGCACATGTGTGCATGTGCAACTCAAATCATGTGAGTGGTGGACTGGTGCGCATGGGCATGCACCCACAGCTAGACTGTAAGTTGAGCTGCATGTGCATGCATGTGCACCCACTGTTCGTGCAAATTGAACTGCAAGCATGCGCGAGTGCATGCTAAACCACCGCTCACACGACCTGGTTGTGAATAGGGCATGGCCCAGTAGTGGTCTGCGGTCTGGGTTGGGGACCCCTGATATAGATGGTATGTGATCTAAGGGTATGATTATTTTAGCTGCATATTTATTTGAATGATTTATAGAGCTGTCCATTACTAAATCATTGGTTATCATTTCCCCATCTGCAGCATAAAGAAAATCCAAATTTGGTGCTTACTAATCGAATGTGTAGGCATTTGTTGTTCACTCGTTTATTCTTCTTCCTAGGTGTAATTTTCAGCCCTATTCTAAATACTTGGGATAACTCCAAATACTACATCTTTCTCTCTTTAGCATGTTTTCTAAAGCCTACCCTTGATAAATCAGTATTCCTGCCTAGTAAAGCTGTCATTTTGGGGACAATTATTGATCTATTGAGCTGCTTAATATGATCAGTTAGCTTTTGGCTAAATATTTATTGAGGGACTAGACTGAATAGGAGAGTCATTCGGCAGGGAATGCTGGATTTAGGAAGGTTCACATTACCACAGATCTTTTCTTGGTGCCATAATATCTGATATTTAATCTCTATTTACATAACTACGGTACTGTTTTCATGTACCTATCAAAAGAAAACCAAGCACAATGACCGCTTAGTTATTTAATCATTATTTAAACAATTGGTAAACTATTTAAACAATCTGAACTTTCCCTCTCCTAAAGGAAGGAAAGATGAAGGATAAATTTGCTAACATCTTATTATACACAGATCATGCAGCTCTCCTGCATCCTGTAGGTCTCAGAAGAGCCTTCAGGGCCATCAGGTAGTTGTTACAAAGAAGAAAGTTGGACATTAATTATCAAAACCCCAAAAATGATGACACTTCTTTAGGAGACCTACATTTCATGCTGGTAAATATATGGGCATAATTGAATAGGTGACATGTTTTAAGTAATTGGGAGTAATGTTTCATTCATCTGGCAGTAGGTCAATGTATAGTATATGTCTGTGATGGCAAACCTATGGCACGCGTGCCACAAGTGGCACACAGAGCCTTCTCTGCAGGCGCGCCAGCTATCACCCAGCTCAGCTCCATTGCACACGGGTGCCTCCCAACGGCCAGCTGATTTTGAGGTCTCTGCTGCGCATGTGTGTGGGGAATGCGGGGGGGATTGTGTGCCCATATGTGGGAAGGGTTGCACACACATGCGTGGGGGGGAGAGGGAGCATCCCCCCCATGCCGCATTTTTGATCCCAGGAAAATTTAGGGAGGCCTGCTAGGCCCAAAATGGGGCACCAGGGCTGTCGCGCATGCACAGGGGATCGTGGGGGATAATGCACATGCACGAAAGTGCGGGGCACAGGTGGTCATGGGCGCATGCGCAAGGGAGTCATTGCATTGTGGGTGTGGGCACACGTGCATGATTTCAGTACACGAGGATAAAAAAGTTAGCCATCAATAGTATATGTTTTGTTCATAATGTCCATATTCTTACGCTTTTATGAACCAAAGATGGTAATTACATTTCTGCTGCCATTATATTTTACATGTAAGAATATTCCTATGCATGTGTCACGGTGCGTGCTTAGTATTTGATTGGTTTTGCCCTGGTTTTGCTGGTGTGTATGTGCTTCTTTAATATAGAAGGACTTTGAAGGGTTTATATTTCCTTCTTTCAGTAAGAAGATTGAAAAGAAAATGAAAAGCAGCGCAACACAATAACCATTAGCAATTACAACAGCCTATAAATTAGATCCTATTCCTGATTTTAATCTACCCGGACAGGTTCAGGCCACATTTTTAAGAGGAGATTCTAGCTTCCATGCAGTACTAGAAATGCTTTCTTGTATTTTGAGATTTTTATGGTAAAAGTAGAACCAAAATCAGGGATAGCTTTATTTAAATATTGATTATAATTATCCTACCTCCAAGTGGGCTTATCCCTTCTAACTTTAGAGGCGGTTTCCAATTAATATGGAAGAGAGCTCTGATTATGATGAAACTGATTCATTTTAGGGCTAAAGTCCTAGTGACAATAATACAAATACAGATGCACACATGGAGGTGGGGGGTCTATAAAAAGACTTGAAATACACAGGCTTCCTTCTTGATGTAAAGCCTTTGGCCCATGAACTTTCAGATAATACTGGACAGAATAATTCTCCTACACTGTTTCCCCACCCATTTTCATTCAATTAGGTGGAAATTGCATACATTTCTCTCTCTCAAAAAAAAGAGACTTTGATCAAAATCCTGATGGGAGGAGAGTGATGTTCTTGTGTTCTTTTACAAAAGTCCAGGTAAGTCCTGGACTGCATTATGTCCTTTGTTTTTCCTTGGATATGGAATAGAACAACTTGGCATAGCCAACATTCCTCAGCCAACTCACTGCTGCCAATTGCTGCGGGACAATTCAACCATTTTATTTAATTATTTTAAATCATTAAATTATTTCAGTTTCTGTCATTCACATTTCGTTTTATCCCTGCCTTTGCATCTTTTCTTTAATGATTTTATTCCACCATTTCTTTGATAGTATGTAACTTCTGTCCCACAACAGGTTGTCCTGTGATGGGTTGGCTAGGGCGAATTGGCTGTGGCGAGTTGGCCACTAAGAGTTGGCTGTGGGGAGTTGTCCTAGACCTCCCTTGGATAACCCATTTGCCAATTCAATTCAATCTCAAGGGATTGTTTCCAAGAAATTTCTCCCACTGACCTACTTCAGCCCAGAAAACAAGGGATGGAGTGAGGGAAACATATCCAACGGGGGGGGGGGATGTTACTAGAGAAAGCATCTTTTCCCATCTCCAACAAGGAAGGACTCTCCAAAACAAAAGCAAATGGAGGTTAAGGGATCAGACTCTTGATCACTCTGAGAAAGAAGGCAGAAAAAACAGATGCCTCTCTAGCAAGTTACAAAAAAAAAACTTCTAAGAAATTGCAATGCCATTTTCAACACAGTTTTATTTTTAACAATCCACAAAGACGAGAAATTCCCTCTTCTTCAAAGACCCACATTTCTTTAGCTACTGTTAGCATATTATCCCATCAGCAAAAGCTGAGAGCCAAGAACATCTTTTGGGGTTGGTTTCCCCCCTTCCCCCCTTTTGCCTCTGTGTGGTTTTATATATCCATATAAAACCCTGATTCGCATCAGCTATTTATATAAAAGTCTTTTTTTAAAAAAAAATAGGCAAACCACATTCTTTCCCAGATGCACCGGATTCTTACATTCTCACCCTGCTTAAGAGAGGAAGGCTAAAAAAAGAGAAAATAAAGGGTGCAAATAAGGTGGCTAATGAAATGTGATTATCATGGAGGTGATCCCTGTGCACAATAATGGAGAGTGAAACGTCTTTTACCGTAAGCAGCATAGAAAGTCACACTTTACCTGGGTAATCCTCAGAGACGTGCACCGAATAGGAGATGCTGTTAAAAAAAGGATAAAGAATAACATAAGAGAAGCAGAAGAATAATTGCGCAGCCCACATTTATTTACAGATTTTTGACAATCTAACAAAGCAGTTACTTTACCAGCTTTTAAAGGACCTAGTAGGAAAAAAAAAAAAAAACACCAAACAACTCATCATAACAGGAAAGCTCTCCAAGATTTCCCCTCTACTCAAAGAAGTACCTCTGTAATATAAAATTGCAATTTGGGAGGGGAGAAACAGAAAAAATGAAAATCAACACTGCTCAAACGTCCAATTTGGCAGCATTGCTTCCTGTTATCTGCCCCCAATGCTATTCCAAAAGGAAAACATAATACATCTGCAATGTACAAATCACTTAAGACTAATTAAGAAGTTCTTTAGGGTTACACACCTGTAATTTAGAAGATGGGGTTTGCCTACTGCAGACTACGGTAGAAAGACTGCAATCTATTTTATGCAAGAATAATTTGTTCTATTGCTGATAACATTAGTCGCTTAGCACCTTCAGGGTATTATTATTATTTTGACCAAATGAAGAGACTATTTTAAAATGTGCATGGGATTATTATTATTTTTTTAAAAAAAGATTCTCACCAGTTCTTTATGTAAAAGAGTTCATCTATGATCTTAGTCTTCTCTAATCATTTCAGGAATAGCCATAAAACAGAGAACCTCTTCAACTTTGGAACAGTTACAACAATCTTGGAAAAGGTGCTTTACCACTCATCCAGATGCCATGCCTCCCAACAGGTCATACAACACATTTCAAATGCATGGCAACAGACTCACATTTACAACTGGCCATGCATTGGCCTGCAGTTTCGTGACCATGATTTGTGATGTTTTTTGCTAGTTTTGAGTATTTTTTAGCAGTTTCCGCCCCGCTCCAAAAAAAATCCATTCAGGAGAATAGATTTGTACCTACAAGCACGTAATTTACTTAAAGGCCACCATAAAATTGTAATAAAATCTGGTGCAGTCACATCAGTACCTCAACTTACAATTGCCATGACTTATAACCCAAATTTCAGGCTCAATTAGGGTAGTAAGTCAAGGACTTACATTTATTTGCAAAGGTATAAACTGTATACTTATGTTCCAAAGGGGCTTTTTCAGGACGCAAATGGGACTTCTTGTTTCTTCTTTTGAAGATGTTTGAAGGGCCAATTCTAATTTTTTTAGCTTCTTTTTGTATTTAGTGGGGCTAAGGTGGGGATGGAAGTGAGAGGTCTCTGGGATGCAAACCACTATCCACTGATAACCAAAATCCTTCTCCCCTGTACTCAAACAATAACCAGGTGCAAGGGGATGGGAATCTTGTCAGGCTATAAGGGTGGGAATGGAGGTTATTTACCGTATTTTTCAGAGTATAAGTTGCCCTGAAGTATAAGACGCACCTAGCTTTTGGGAAGGAAAACAAGAAAAAAAATCTGCCTCTGCCTCCCAGCAATTTTTCTCCTTGTAGCAAACATCCCGTTTCCGTTTCAGCACAGCCTGATTAGCACAAGCAGCTGATTATCGGTTGGATAGGCCTTCCGACGATCAGCTGTTTTATGCTGCAGGGATTATCATAGCATATTGTCGCCTCTGCGCACCCCATTTTCACCCTCCGCATCCCATTTTCAGCCTCCACATCACCCATTTTCAGTCTCCATTTCAGTCTCCAGGATCGGAATGGACAGAGATCGGAATGGGCAGAAAATGGGGTGTGTGGAGGTCAAAAACGGGGTTTGTGCAGAGGTGGAAATAGGCAATGGCAATCCCTGCAGCCTGAAACAGCTGATGGTCGGGAGGCTGATCCAACCAACAATCAGCTGCTTGTGCTAATCAGACTGTGCTGAAACCGAAACTGAAACAGGATGTTTGCTGCAAGGAGGCAAACTGCTGGGAGGCAGAGGCCAAAGGGTGGGGCCGACAGGTGGGCAGGGCTACATTTGGTGTATAAGAGGCACCCAAATTTTCACCCACTTTTAGGAGGGGTAAACATGAATCTTATACTCCAAAAAATATAGTACATCCCAGAACACTTGATTGCATTGCCACTTATAATTTGTTTTTAAAATGTGGTTTTCAAAACTGATCATTTTGTAGCCAAATTTTATCAAAATGATCACAGAGTTCACAGACTACAGGATCTTGATCTTGATCTTAAATCAATACGTCCAGAGCACCCTTATCAAAAATTTGGGGGAAAGGCCATTGAGGTCTTTACGTTCACTGCAGGAATCCCATTTTAAAGCCTTCACAGCCAATGTTTATTCATTTTTTGTTTGAAGAGAAGTTCGTGAACGGGAGCCCATCAATTTGCTACACAATTAGTATGCTATTGAAGTATTCTTACGGTTAGGCTGTCTTTACATAGATGTAACTAGAATTGGCTTTCCTGCTCTTTAAAACTTCTTTTTCTGCACTCTAGAATGGTAGAAACATGGCCTGCTTTTCTTTAATGTGACACATCTGTAGGCAGGTGAAGACTGAGACAGTATCTCACATTCATTCTCCTTTCTCAAGGATAAATAGACATTCTAGGTCTCCCAGTCTCCATTAATAGGTCTTAGTTTCAAGAATATAATGGTGAAAAGAGCTGCATTGCAAACGGCTCTTTACTGTATGTAAGAACATTTATCCCCTAGTTGACACTCCAGAATAATTCATTAATAACTAATGAAAACAAATATTAATACAATAGCAGAGTTGGAAGGGATCTTGGAGGTCTTCTTGTCCAACCCCCTGCCTAAGCAGGAAACCCTATACCACTTCAGACAGATGGTTATCCAACATCTTCTTAAAGATTTCCAGTGATGGGACTTTCACAATTTCTGGAGGCAAGTTGTTCCATTGATTAATTGTTCTAACTGTCAGGAAATTTCTCATCAGATCTAAGTTGCTTCTCTCCTTGATTAGTTTCCACCCATTGCTTCTTGTTCTACCCTCAGGTGCCTTGGAGAATAGCTTGACTCCCTCTTCTTTGTGGCAAACCCTGAGATATTGGAACACTGCTATCACGTCTCCCCTAGTCCTTCTTTTCATTAAACTAGACAT